CCCAGAGCTGGAGGCCCAGCCTCCTCGGGGGTAGCCGTGCGGCCTTGGGTTTCAGTTTCTTCCTGTGTGAAATGGGGATGACAGCCCTGCAGAGCATCGCACTGGGGCTGAGAGTTCTGGCAGGGGCGGGGGGCGTGGTGCCCGCTCCAGACGCGGCCAAAGCTGGGAAATGACCGGTTTCCTCACTGGGCAGGACAGTGGGTGCCTCGCCGTCCCTGGTGTGCAGTCCCCAGGATGGGCTGGAGCCTGGGTGTCAGGGGTGGCTCCTCTTCACCTCTTGACCTTGGCCCCTGGGCTCAGGGCCACACGTCCCCGGGCGTCCTGAGCAGGCAGGAGGCTTTCTTTTGGGGGTCGAGGGGCACAGCCTCCAGCACAGCTTGTTGTGTTCGCGGGTGCGGACTGGCGCTAACCTTATCCACCCATGGGGCTCCAGACTGGGAGCACGGAGGGCCCTGAGCGTGTCCTCGCCTGGCATGGCCGTCGTCCCGACAGGCACTGCCCACTTGCAGGCCTTGTGTCGGGAGCTGCAGAGCTGGGAGCAGCGTCCTGGGCCTCAGAGAGTGCGAGAAGCCACGGTGCTGCCCTCACAGTGAGGGGCCCAGACCCCAGCCCAGCAATGGGAATTCCACTCCCAGCCCCCGTTCTCAGGGGACTAACCAGACACCAGTTATGGGCAGGAGCTGAGTGTCTGTATGAGCCGTGAACACCCCAAAAAGTATGTTTCCGGGAATGTTAACCAAGGGGTGCCAAAGTCCTATGCCCCCTCCTTCCGTGCCCCCTCCCCCTCCCCCAGCTCCAAGCCACCCTCTGGGTCTCAGTTTCCTGCAAGCTGCCTGGAAAGCCAATGAACGCCCATGCAACTATAGGCAGAATTTTCCCGACAGCCCTGGAGGGAACCGGTAGCCTTCTAGGGGATGATCAGTTGTTACAGACCTGAAGCTCAGTCCAATGAGCTGGCCTAAGCCTCAGGAGAGGCTCCTGCCCGCGAACCACCAAGGGAAACGGGCACCGCCGTCCCTCCCAGGACTGCCAGCCCCAGGAATACCGCTTCCCCCCAAAGACAATGGACTCTGCTGAAACTTCTTGTTGGGAGAATCTAGACTCTTTCTTCTTGGTGGAAAACAGTGAGAGAGCTGGCCCTCCGTGCAGCAGGAGGCTGGAGGGAGTGAGCTCTCCAGGCCCCCATGAACCCTGGCCCTGCCCCTGTGCTGCCCTCACGCCCGCCAGCCCTGTAAGGGAGCTGCCCTCCCAGGGGAACTTCGGGCGCCCCCAGCCCATGGCCGTCTCCTCCCTGCCCTCCCTTGTAGACAGACGGCCCTGACAGCTGCAGTGCCTGACATCAGAGGTCACCAGGTGCCTGGAGAGAGTGGGGGCCAGGGCCCCAGCCCTCGGCCAGCCGGCTTCAGGGGAGAAGCAGGGGGGTGCGAGCTGGGCTGTGAGACACGGAGGGGCTGGTGGGGAGTGCAGGTGCAGGACAGGAAGGAGAGGTGTTTGGGGGGGCGCTCTGAGCATGGGAGCAGGACACGCCCCCTGATGCTTTCCCGGGAAATGGAACCTTGACCAGGGAGGAAAAAGAAGCAGCCCCAGCCAAGGCCCAGGGGAAATGCTGTCTTCTAAGGGGCTCCGCTCCACACCCTTGAGGCTGTCAGCGCCCCCAGAGCTTCAGTGAGGTCTGGGGAGAGAATGCTGGCAGCGCGTCCCTGCCCGCAGCCCGGATGCACCGGACACAGACCTTCAAGGGCCTCACCACGCAGCCCTGGGGACACAGAACCATCTGGGTGTGCATCACCCTGCTCTTGCCGTGGGGAAGGAGCAAATGCACCTAAACTCAAGGCGGTGGCCACACCCCTGCCCCTTGGCTCCGCCCCTCGGCTCCGCCCCCTCCCAGGCTAGCGGGTCTGCTCTGCACTCCCTCCCCTTCTGAGGCGTTTCCCAGGCTCCACCTGCCCTCTGGGGGCCTGCGACCCCTCCTTGCAGATGCCTTGGGCCAGGATTACTCTTCCTCAGGTGATGGGTCACGGGAAGGACAGAGAGGACCTGGTGGCAGTCAGCGTGAGCTCGCAGGGCACCGCTGGGCCGGGGGCTCAGTGCAGCACACCAGGCGGGGAGGGGGGGTCCTCATTTTTAGGGACTTCCCGACAGGCACGCACTTCCTTTCCTCTCCTGCTTTGGCAGTGGAAGTGGGAAATGCTCTCCCCTGTCCAATTAGACGAGACTTCCCGGGGAAGTGGTGCAAGGCCCAAGGTGGGGAAAGACACTGCATCCTGCTGTCCACACCCGCCAAAGACGCGTCACCTGGGTCCTGACCACGTGAAGGTACAGAGCAAAGTCATGAGGCCAAAAGGCCTGGAGGAGCTGGGGGCCAGGAGCTGCTTCCTTCCCTGACCCTGACCCTGGACTCACGGCAGGTCCCTGCCACTGTCACAGGTCCTTAGAGATTTTCCGAGGTCACGCTTTCCACTCCCCTGCGTCCACGAGGAAGTCCCTAACCACGCCTGTGGCCACCCCTGACCCGAAAGCTTTTCCCAAAGGAAGAAGGTAACTCTGCTTAGTGTCATCCAGAGGCCTGCAGACCTTTGCTCCATGGAGGTCCCTAGTTCAACTCAACCTAAACCCTCTTCGTCGAGGGGCCTAGAGACAAGAACACAGAGTCACCCCCAGAGGTCACCAGGATGCAGCCCCAGTTCCAGCAGCAGAAGTCGGCCTGGCGTCCGCGTCACGCAAGCAAGGAGGCAGCGTGCTCTGTGCCGAGAAGCTCGGCTCCGCGGAAGCCCGGCCCTGGGACGACGCTGGGCTGCTTCTCCTTTTAAGGCAACGTCTGAGCTCTCGGCCCCAGCCCCACTCATTCCTGGCTATTTGGAGGCAACGATGATTACTCAGCGCCACCCCGCACCCCCCCACCCCCGGCCTGTTTTTCATTAGGTTCTTTTTAAAGGGATGGCGCCCCCCCTGTAGAGCAGACACGTGGCCCAGCCCAGCCCACTAGGAGCCGGTGCGGGGAGCGCGTGAGGTCGGGGGAGAATCCCGGTGAAGACAACGCGGGGGCAGAGAGAGGGCTAGGATGTTGGAAAACAGTCCTGAGAGGCTGCGTGCGGGCGGTGCAGGTTCTGCGGGCAGCAGGGGGTGGTGCCTTTGCCCATCCCCCCACCCCGCCCCACGGGGGCGCCAGTGAGACAGGTCTGAAGTCGGGTTCTCGCGAACGCTGGCTGAAGCTGGCTAAGTTATCATCCCTCTGGATCCCCGGTTTCCCTCCAAGCCAGGCCTGCGAGCGGCATGGGAGCTCTGCAGAGGGCAGCAGGACCGTGTGCCGTGGGCACGGCCGGGCGCCTGACCTCCATCTGGGGGGTGGGCCACGGCCCCAGCTCCCCCACATCTCCTCGAGGGGACGGCATCTGTGATGGAACCACTCTGAACCCGGCGGGAGAGGGGCTTCCTGGCCAGACGGTGGGTGGGTTCTTACAAATGTCCTAAAAGGGCTGAGCCACCGGGCCCCTCACTGGCCTCTTATCTGCAAGTTCCTCTCTCCCTTTCGAATCAAGGCACGGTCGCCACCCCTCCTGGCCCAGCCCTGGAAGGTGCTCTGAAGGGTCACCCCGGTTCTGGGAGCTGGAGTGAGTGGGAGAGGGCTCTGTGCCCCACGAGCCCCGACCTGGGCCTGCGAGGCAGGAGGGGGAAGTGGTGCCTTGCAAGGCCCTGGCTCACCAGGCCCCGTGCCCCGTGGCTGCCTGATGGGATTCTGGCAGCGGAGCTAAATGAACCCTGGGGCTGGTCCCCGAGGGCATGTGTTTGTGGTCCAGGTGCACGCTGTTTCCATAGGGCCAACCGGCACCCCACTCCCTCCGGGACATATGTGAGGAAGGGCCACGTAGGCCGAGTGGGCTTCTGTCCCCCCTGGCTCCTGAGAGACAGAACACCTCCCACCACTCGGGCCACAGCCTCCTCCTTTTAAGAACCTTCAGAAGGACATCGGGGCATCCCTGGGGTCCCGGCTGCCCTGGGGTCTATCACAGTTGGACAGGGTTAAATCTAATAGCTCATCTTAGGCAATTCAGCTGCTCCCGTGGCTCTCAGAATAAGGTGCAGGATTCACGCTCCAGCCTCTAGTTCAACGCAGCATCCTTGCCACGGCCCCCGCCGCTGCAGCATGGGTCCAGCTCTCCCGAGGTCAGCTGACCTGGCGGGTCCCGGGCTCCTTACAGAGAGGGCTGGGCCTTAGCAAAGCGCTTACTAAAAAATAAGGGAATTAATGTGGACTTTTCAAAAAGCCACATATATTTGATGCAAAGGTATGTCCTTTATTCTGTTACGTCTACCTTCCTTCGTTATTGTTGACTCCTTCTTATTTCAACGAGATGAGGATGGTGGACAGAATTTACAAATACTCCTAACTGATAAAATAAAACATAAGCAGTCCTTTGTTGGTCCCTCCAACCTTTTTTTCCTCTGAAAAGGTCTCGGCTGTAAAAACCCCAGGATCTGAGAATCACTGACCTACTGCTGGGAGCCAGGGCAAGGCCCTGAGGCTCCCGCCCGGAGCACAGGAAGCAAGGGGAGCCCAGCAGCCCAGAGATCAAGACAACTAATGTTTTAACGAATACTGTAAAAAATCAAATTTAACACGAAGAAAGCAATATGGACAAAAATCTAAAATTTTAAACAAAGACACGACCAGTTCTAAGGATGTTCCAGCAAGGCTCAGCAGGGTCCACCTTCCCAGTCACCCACGACAGAGGGGGGCGCTTCAGGGTCTGAGATCCTCTGGGGAGGAAGGGCCACAGTTGTCCAGGAATTCCCTTTGGGGCCTCACGACCCTGACATTCTGTGAGTCCGATGTCAGCTCGGTCTCTGCACGTGACCCCAGGCCCCCGCACGGCGTCCTCAACGGAGGCTGTCTGGAGGCTCCAGGCGGCTCCATAAGTGACCCCCACGCTGTCCCCAGGTTCATTCCTCTGCCTCCGTAGCCAGCTCTTCATGTTTATTTTTCTTTCCTGAATTCTTAGGAGGGCAAGCAAGTGGAGACCAAGACAGATGCCAAGAAGGGAGAGGAAAGGGGCAGAGATGCCAGCAAAAAGCCCCTGGGCCCCAGACGGGACTCAGACCTGGGGAAGGAGCCAAAGAGGGGCGGTTTGAAGAAAAGCTTCTCAAGAGACAAGGACGAAGCTGAAAGCAAAGGCTCAGAGAGGCCCAAGGAGGAGAAGCTCATCAGGGGCCTCGAGAAGGGCCGGGTCAGGGCCGCGGTGGACAAGAAGGAGGCCGGGAAGGAGGGGCGGGCGCAGGAGGGGACGGCAGCCCCCAGGAAGGACGAGGAGAAGCAGGGCAGTGCGAGCGGAGACAAGGGGAAGAAGGGAGAGGAGAAGAAGGAAGCAAGCCAGAGAGAGGGGGCCGAGAAGGTGAAGGGGCAGAGGAAGGACACGGACGCCCGGACGGAGGGCCAGGAGGTGGAGAGAGGGAGCAGGGACAGGGGTGCCAGGCCGGAGGACAAGAAGGCCAGAAAAGAGGAGCCCCGTCGTGCAGAGGCCCCCCGTGAAGAGACCAAGAGCCCGGCGCCAGAGAGATCAGCCCCTGGAGCCCCCGCTGAGCCCACCGACGGGCCCGCCCAGGCTGAGGAGGAGGCGGCCCCCAGCGTCTTTGACGAGCCCCTGGAGCGGGTGAAGAGCAACGACCCGGAGGTGACCGAGCTCAACGTGAACAACTCGGACTGCATCACCACCGAGATCCTGGTGCGCTTCGCCGAGGCGCTGGAGTTCAACACGGCCGTCAAGGTCTTCGCCTTGGCCAACACGCGGGCGGACGACCACGTGGCGTTCGCCATCGCCATCATGCTGAAGGCCAACAAGACCATCACCAGCCTGAACCTGGACTCCAACCGCATCACCGGCAAGGGCATCCTGGCCATCTTCCGGGCCCTCCTGCAGAACAGCTCGCTGACGGAGCTCCGCTTCCACAATCAGCGCCACATCTGTGGCGGCAAGACCGAGATGGAGATGGCCAAGCTGCTCAAGGAGAACACCACGCTGCTCAAGCTGGGCTACCACTTCGAGCTGGCCGGGCCCCGCATGACCGTCACCAACCTGCTCAGCCGCAACATGGACCGGCAGCGGCAGAAGCGGCTGCAGGAGCGCCGGCAGGAGCGGGAGGCCCGTGGGGCCGAGGCGCTGCTGGAGGTGCCCCGAGCCGGGGCCCCCGCCCGGGGCTCCCCCAGACCCTCCCCGCAGTCGTCCCCCAGGGCCGCTCCCAGGACCTCCCCGGGGAAAGGGGGCGCCCCAGCCGCGCCCCCGCCCCCGCCGCCGCCCCTGGCCCCACCGCTCCTCATGGAGAACCTGAAGAACTCGCTCTCGCCGGCCACCCAGCGGAAGATGGGCGACAAGGTCCTCCCCGCCCAGGAGAAGAACTCCCGGGACCAGCTGCTGGCCGCCATCCGCTCTAGCAACCTGAAGCAGCTCAAGAAGGTGAGTGGGTACGCTCAGCCGCAGTGCGGGGCGGGGCCGGGAGGGGGCTGGCCCGTCCCACCGCCCTCTGCCCCAGGCTGGCCGCCCCGCCTTGCCCGCGAGGGAGTCTGGCCTTCCTCTGGGGGGGGGGGCCCTTTAGCCCCTCACCCAGCAGTGAAACCCGTTTCTCCCAGAAATGGAGAAGAAGCTTCAGACCCTTCCTCCCTCCCCCCATTCCCCAAACCCAAATGGTCTTTGTTTTCCTAATTCCCTCTCAGGACCAGCCAAGTCCTACAGGTCAGGTTATCCCAAAGGTCTATGGGAAGCACTCCGTCCCTGGAGACCTGGTTCTCAAGACTCGGCCTCCCTGGGTGGTAGAGTCTCGATCCTCTGCCCAGCTGACCCCACCCCTACATGGTCACTCCTGAGACACTGCACAACCTCGACTGTAACTCCAGGGTCATTCGATGGCATCCGGTTTTCACAGAAAAGGGGAAGGGCTCCCTCTGTCCACACTTCATCTCTTTCTGAGCCCAGCAGGAAAGGAAGTGAGAGGGATTCCAGAGGCCCCCGCTGGGTTCCCTCCTCTAAACTGGCTCTGCTCTGCCCGGACAGGTGGAGGTGCCCAAGCTGCTGCAGTAGGACCAGGCTGCAGGCGCCATCCGCGACGCCACGCCTGCCCAGGCCCCGCTTCCCAGGGCCGCACAGACCCCGCCCGCCACGCCGGCTGACCTGCCCTGGACGTCCCTGCCCTGCCGTGGGAGAGCTGGAGGCCTGGGCCAGCTCCGGGAAGGATGCCTTCTCTCCTTGCTTTCCTTTTCTTGTCTCTGAGGCGCTCCACAAATGTCTCATACCTGGAGCTGAGGTTTCTGGACAAGAAGAGTCCTTTCAGCACGTGACCGAGAAGACAGCAAGCCTGGGTCCCATGCGGCTGGCAAGCTGCCAAAGTCCTAGGATCCAGGAACGATGTCTCCCAGGGACCACGTGACCCGCCCGGCCCCACTGCCCCGCTAGGGCCAGGATTCAGGCCTCTGAGGAGCCCTTGGGGCAAGGCCGCTGGGCTGCTGGCTCTCTGTGTGGGGCAAGCCTGGAAGACTGGAGGGCCAAGGGCCCAGGGAAGAGGGAGGAGGGGCTGAGGACACCCCCAAGCCCCTCCCAGCTAATCAGAGGACATGGCAGGGGCAGCGAGCCTCGGGGGAGTGAGCTCCAGACATGAGGAGAGGACAGACAGCAGCTGGACCTGAAGGTTTGATGCCAAAGCAGACATTTCCTCACACCCACCTGCTGCTGTATAAATAGCTGTGTATCTGTTTTTCCATAAGATTTTGATAATATATACGAGCCTTTAGCTGTGCTTGGCTGTGCTCACCTCTGTGCTGTCCCGAGGGTCCCGATACTCACCTGGGCTCCCTGGAGGGCTCCAGAAACTCAGGTTCCCTGCCATGCCTCCCCAGGTTGCCACACACAAGCTCCCATCCGCAGAAAGCAGAGCGTAAGGGAAAGACTCAGACGGGGTGGGGGGGCTCCCGCTGACCCGCTGTCCAGGCCCTGGGGTCATTGGGCAGAGCCGCCGTCGAGGTGGCAGGCAGAGGGCAGCGCAGGGCGCTGGGATGACTATGTTAGGCGCGTTCTGGATGCTCCTTCGCGACTCTTCCTAACCGCGGGCTCCAGCCATCTCCTCCCAGCAGCCCCAGGCCACTGGGGAGCAGTGCCCGCACTGCTGTGCCCCCTCTGCCCCACGCCCTCCATCCCCGATATAGCAAAGGCATCTCTCTGGTGCCCCACGCCCTCCATCCCCGACATAGCAAAGGCATCTCTCTGGTTTGATCGGCTAAAGGAGCTGCACCCCTGTCGCTGTGAAACTGCCACCTGGGTGTGGGTCAGATGTAGGCTTTCTTGCAGCTTGCCGTCTGCAGGGCGGAGGTGGGGCGTCCCTGCGCCGAAGCGGGACCCCTGAGCTAGGTCTGGCCAGAAACAGAGCGCAGCCTGGTCCCGGAAGCAGAGAGCTCAGATCCCTGGGCGCACCCTGCCCCCTCCCCCCACCCACGCGCCTGTCCCCCAGAAACCCAACCAAGGCCGGGCCGGAGGGGGACACACTGCCGCCCCCAAGCTAAGCGCAGCAAGTCTGCGGGCCGAGGCTGCAGCTCTGCGAGCCGGACCGACGTCACCTCCGCGTCGCAGACAAAGCCTGGCCCAGAGAGTGTGACACGGGCCGCGACCACTCAGCTCATCAGGATCCCGAGCTCCGCCCCGAGCTGCTCCTGGTGACGCCCCCTCCCGGCACCGACAAGGGCAGGTGAAGGGGCTCAGGTGGCCTAAGCGACCCCGCCCGCCAGGGTCCAGATCCTAGAGCTCCAGCTGGACCTGTCGCTTTAGGGCGTGACACACTTAACTCAAGATTAGCCGACAGAAAATCAGCTTCTGCTGTTCCTGGGCCGCCAGGGGCACCGCCCTCCCCCTCCCCCTCCCCCCTCTCCGCTCCGCTGTGGCCTCCGCAGGCCGATGACGTCATCCCCTCCGAGCCTGGGTTGGGGGCGCAGCGCCACCTGGCGGACAGCGCGGCCCCGGGCCTTCTGCCGCGCAGCGTTCCGAGCCCGGAGGGTGGACAGCTGGACCTGGCGAGGCCCAACTGCTGGGAGGCCTGGGGTCGGGGGGGGGGGGGGGGGGCGATCGGGAGCGTCCTCGGGGCGCGGGTGCTCTGGGATTAGCTGAATTGAGGGGAGGGGTTGCAAGGCGGGGCAAACGACCTGACAGCTAATGGATCCGTATTCAAACCCAGGTTTCCTGCTGACTTGGACCAGGAGGCTCCCCCAGGGCCCTCCGGCCGCCGCACTCTCTCCCCCACCCCGTCCAGGGGTCCATCTGAGACTCTGGCCCCAAGCCCTGCCCGCAGGAAAAGTGCCCCCCTCCCCCATCCCCTCCCCGTCCCCTCGCCGGGCCTGGGGGCTGTGTGTACAAGCTGGGGCCCAGGCCCTGGAGGCACCGGGCCTGCAGGGCTATTCGGCCCACTTCCTGTCGTAGGAGGCCCAGGCCGGGCGTCAGGACCAAGGCCACTCAGGTGGCTTCTGTAAGGAGCATAAGATCCGAACACGGGTCACCCACCAAGATCACCCAGCCTGGCTAGGCGTGTGCCAGCTGCCTGCTGGGGAGGGCGGGGGAGGGAGACAGGCTGCTGGCCTGGGGAAGGTCCCCCTCAGCCGCCTTGCCCGTGCTCTACCTGCCCTACCTGGCCACGCACCTTCCCCCCACCCCTCGGCCCCCTTCTGCAGGCCTCACCCCCTCCTTTATCCCACCCGCCCTCCAGCTTTCCCCTTGCCCCACCAGCGCTCCCCTTTCCTGCTGACCTCTGGCTCCTGGCCTGACTGTATTCCAAGTACCTGGGCCCTAGCCCTCTCCCTGTCTGCCTGCGCCGGGCTCAGCATGCCCAGCACCACAGCATTCCCTGCTGCGCCCACAGTGCAGGCCGGCGGGCTTCGTGTAAGATGCCACCTTTCCCCATCTCGGCTTCCCAGACCTCCCCTCAGGGTCCCCGCCGGTTCCTCCCAGGCTAGCAGGACCGCACTTTCGCTCGATCCCTGAGGATCACGGCTCCTCCCACCCCCCCACGTTGTAGGGTGTCTGTCGGTTTTCCAGGGTGCTGGTGCAGGGGCAGCCGTGCCCCGTCCCCGGGTGAGGAGCTGGGCCACAGAGGACGTGGCACTTTTGGAGACAGGGTGCTGTCTTGTTTTAAAAACTAGAGAACGTGACGGGGCCCTCCTCTCTGCTCCCCACGTGTGGAAGCTGCACTCTTGTCACGGTCTCCCCTTTTCTGAGAATTCTCTTATTTTCAGTGCTCTGTAGAGTTAATTGACTGGAAGTGTTGGGGGCAGCGGCCCGGGAGGCAGCTCTGATTGGGATAAACTTGACTCCCCTCCCAGACTACAGAGCAATTTTTAATTGGCCCCAGGCTGTTGACATAAGGATAATTAGTTCTGACCAGCACGGCCTTGCTTCATTTACATGTCATTTCTTAGGGAAACTCGGAAATCTTACCCTGCAAACCTCCTCCACCTCCCAGCTTCAGGAGAGAGGAGGACGGTCCGAACCTTGGAGTGACCTGGTGACCGCCTCTCCCAGCGTGTGACGGCAGAACTTGCGACCGGAAGCCAGGACACTCGCGGCCCCTCCCGCCTCTCTGCCCCATCCTCAAGGAAAAGGTGGACTTGCAGTTGTGGTCCCAGCACTGGCCCCAGCAGCCCTAGCTTCCCCTCCATCTGGGTCAGGTCCAGGGACAGAGGTCTGACCCTGGCCCCAAAGCGGCTGGCCCAGGAGCTCCCCGCCTGGGCTGTGTGACAAGAGCCTCCAGTGGGCCCCGGGCATGGTGAGCACAATGGCCATCCAGACGAGGCTGCCGGGGCCCAGAGGCCTGAGGAAACCGAAGGGCAAGCAGGTTGCAGTGGGGCTGGAGGACCGCGGATGGAGGGGAGGGGGCTGAGCCGAGGGGCTTGGTAAGGGGGAGATGGCGGATCGGGTGGCTTCCCAAGCTGAGCTGGCACTTTTCCCACTTGAATTAAAAACTGGCCCACGGCTTCGGGAGGCGAGGTCAGGGGGGTGGGGGAGGGGACCTGCCTGGCCCAGTAGAGACACAGAATTGGGCCTGGGGGCCTCGTGCCTTGGGCGCACCTGCCCAGGCGGCCTCCTCTGATGGGGAAGGGCAGACCGGACCAAGCTTCCTGTACACGGTTCGCCCTCAGGACAGCCCCGAGGAAGCATCTGCATCCTAGAGACGAGGAGCTGAGAGCTGGCAGCCTCGGGAGACACAGGCACACCCAGGTTCGACGGGGCGGGGCCCGAGCGTGAGTCCAAGTGTACCGAAGAGGGGCAGGGGCCCTTGTGCGGCAGTGGTGCCTCACTCGCCGGCCCCTCGTGGGGAATTTGTAACCAACCAACGAGCACCCTCTTCCCCGCAGTGGCAAGATCCGCCTCCCCGGCTCTGGGAACCAGCCCGAGGAGCCCTCAGCCTGGGGGCTTCTGCCTGTGCTCCAGCCCTGGCACCCGCCCTCCCCTGCTTCGGGGCTGTGGGGCTGCCGGCAGAGCCAGGAAGTTGTGCGTGGCCCAATGACACAACCCACATGACATGTCATTACAGCTTTAATCCAGCAGCCGGGGCACGGCCCGTGGGGGCGCCAGCAGGAGGGCTTCTGCCCACGGCCGGTGGAGCCCCCTCAGCCCACGGCGGGCAAACAGGAGCAGCCCAGCCTTCCCGGCTGGCGTCCTGGGAGGAGAAGGGACTAAAAGAAAGCAGGGGCTGTGACCCAGGCTTTCCTGTCCTTCCCCCGCCCCGGATAAAAATAGTCCACGCGTCCCAGGCCCTCCCCACCCACCCCTCATTCACGGCCAAGTTCCAGCTCAGCTCCTGTTGCTCTCCCTGGGGCTCTGCTCCCAGAAGGTCTCAGGGTGTGGCTTGGTCTGGGGCCTGGCAAGCAGAGGACCCTGCCCACCCCCGGGCCGCATGAAGGTTCAGGAGGGGGCATCCCTGAGGGACGGCAGAGATGCAGCTGGTTGCTCAGGCTCCCGGGTAGGAGGGCTGGGGTGGCATATATGGGGGAGGAGCTGCAAGCCAAGGAGACAGGGTGAGGGTCACGGCGGCACGGGAGGGCGCAAGGGCGCCCCTGACCGCAGGGCCACGCGGGACCCACGGGGCCAAGGCAGCCTGGAGGTCTGGGAGAAGGACTCGGGTTGTGAGGGGGCGGGGGCGGGCAGGTGGGAGCAAAGGGCTCACTTACCTGCAGGGTTGTAGACAGGGGGCCCCGCCGGGTAGAGTGGATACTGGGGTGCAGGACCACTAGGTGGGTACATGAAGCCAGGCTGTGGGGCTGCAGGGCCAGCTTTGGGGTCCTGGGGGTACGGGTACACCGGCTGCACTGGGATGCCTGTCATTGGGATCTCCTGGCCTAGTTGGGGGCCAAGGACCAGTATTCAGAGCCCTGCCTCCATGGGAAGCCACCTCCTCCGGCCCGGGAGGCCCTGCCGCCTCTGCTCCCAGACCCTGCTCGGCCGAGTCCAGCAGGGAGCCTGCGGGTGGTCCCCGCTGCTCAGTCTGGGTTCAGCAGTTTGCTCCCTCAGGGGGTTTCAGAGACCTCCTGGGCCAGAGAGCACGGCCTGGGGAACGTCTTACCTGGGCAAGGAGATGGCCGCTGTGGGGCTGGAATCTTGCAGCCTAGCAGAGCTGCCCCCAGCGGGGGTCCCCCCACACTGACCCCCCCGCCCGGGCGGGAGTCACCGTTCCCACGCCCACCAGTCTGGGCTTATGTGCAGCCACACACCAAGTCAGGCACACGTCCTCGAGCACGCACGGAGCGCACCGATGATGTTCACGCTCCAGGCCCCACCCCAAGTGCTTCCTACGAGCCAAGAGCGTGCACAAACCCAGGGCACACACGCGGATGCCGGCAAGCGGTGCAGGCGCACTCGTGCATACCAGTCCAGCGTTCACACAGGCCCCTGAACGCTCCTGTTTCCGGGGTTACGTGCTGGCAAGTGTGTGTCTGGGAGCACACGCTGCCGCAGAGCCTCACCCCCGTGACCTCTGGTGCCCACCGTGGGTCTCAGCCTGGCCCGTCCCACATGGACGCACCTTCAAATGGGCTCTGCAGCTGCTGGCGCCGGCGGTACAGGTAGCAGCAGGAACAGAGGAAGCAGCAGATGGTGGTGGCGACCACGGCCACGAAGAGGATCACGGCGGAGGCGATGCCCGCTATGGTCTTGGGACTTAGACAAAGAACAGGTCCCCTCACCTTCCAACCTCAAGGGCGGGATCCTCACCACGCCGACAGTAACACTGGGCTCGGACCCCTGGCCAGCAGGGGGCCACCACAAACCGAGATGTGGGTCTCCTGGTGGGGCTGTGCCCGACTGGTGTGGGTAGATCTTAGGGGACCACACTTCCCGGAAGGCCAGGCGGCCTGCTGGTCAGAGAGTGGCCGGCGGAGATGTGGAGTGTGTGCCCCCGTCCATGACTTAACTGGTTAGACTCCAGCACGGGAGCCCTGAAAGCCCCCTGGGAAATGATCCAGAGCTGTTTTCTTAGATCCCTCTTTAATCACAGTCTCTCTATACCTGTTCTATATGTCAGCGTCCCCTCCAATAAGAAGTTTGAAAACCACTCATTGTGTCCCCCCCCCCCCTTTTCATGGAGAGGGAACAGTGGCCCACCCGGGACACGTCCTCCCCAAGATCATGCAGCTGGTGAGCAGAAGACCTGGGAATCAGACCCCGTCTCCCACCTTCCGGCCAGAGCTCCACTGCGCCCGGGTGCGCAGGCCCGGAGCGAGGGGAGGGCTCGGCCCAGCCAGCGGTGACCACATGACGGTAACTAGCCGGCCCCTCCTGGAACTCCCCAGCCCCGGCGCTACAGCCCTGCTTCGTGCCCAAGCCGGAGCCCTGGGTGTGGGCGAAGAATGTGGAGGCGGACAAGGAGGGAAGGGGCCGGAGCCCACCTGAAGGCCAGGCAGTGCTTCTGCTGCCTCTCGGTGATAAGCAAGGTCAGGTCCCGGCAGCAGTACCGATGGTAGCAGGTCCCGCAGCAGAAGGTGAAGAACTCGCAGTTGAAGCCCGGATGCCAGGAGCCATTCCGGTCCAGGTACCACAGGCAGTCCTCGCCGGCCAGCGCTGCGGGCACGGACGGGGGTACCCAGTGGCCGCCCAGCCCCACTCCCACTCCCCGGAGCTCCACCCTGGTCCCTGCGCCCAGAGGCCTCTGCCCGGAGCGGCCCCTGGGATCGGCCCCACGCCCGGCACCCGCCGCCCTCCCCTCCCGCGGACCCCGCAACGCCGGGGCGCGGACTCCCCCAGGGTCTCCGGGGCGCGGGCTCTCCCAGGGTCTCCGGGACCGCGCGCAGAGACCTCTCCCGCGCCCCCGGCCCCCGGCCCTTACCCAGGGGCGCCCCCAGCACCAGGAGCGCGATCGCGGCGAGCGGCGCGGCCCCGCGGAGCCCGGCGGGCGGCATGGCGGTGCGCGGGGAGCGGCGCGGGGCGCGCAG